ATATTAACCCTGTACAAGAAGGCTGTCCATCAGATAATGACTAATAATATTATTCTTTCTCCAGTGGCTGCATTACAACAGTAAATTAAATAAGATGTTGGAGAATAGGAGGAGTGGTAGAAAATATGGGTCTCGAGACAGTGATATTTGGGGGAAATGAGTGTGAAGAGGAGGAAAGTGTAGTAGGAGATAGCTGGAAAGAAGTGGAGAGGGGAAAAAAACCAGATGCAGCAGAAGCCAGGAAGATTTAGTAAATCAAGTCAGTGATATCTAATAAGAATGTGTTAATCACATACACACATGCTTGCTGGCTACCGAGTAGTAAGATACATGTGGAACATGCAGATTCTCCTTGACTACTTGTGATATCAGTAAAAGTGTAGAATAAATTCTGCAGTATGGGTGAATTTATGCTATACTTGTGAACATGTTGGCTATTAGTCTTGAGCTCTACATACTCTATTTAAAAACAAGCAAAGACAGTCTCTAGTACTTTACTAAGACAGTTTTTAGTAACCAGGTTCGAAAATTAATGAATGTGTAACAGATACATGGTAATGTGTACCATATAATGAAGCATCATCAATATTTTTTAACCTCTTATGGCTTTTGTTTTACCAGTTTTAGTTCTGATAAGATACTGTTCCAAAGGTGTTTCAGTTCAGTTTCTATTGTATTCCTGAAAGGGTGGACTCTTGTGGTGCCCTTCACTGTTAAGCTAGTTATGGTGGCAGCTTCCATGGACATTTAATGTTTTAAATTTTAATAAAAATACATGTATTTTGAAAAATTTTTTATTTGATTAGGTCAGAGATGTTTCTAACTTGGTCTTCTGTTTCCAATGAATGCCTAGAGAAAAATAAAATACTGCAGCTATAAAGTGATATCTCCCCAAATACTGTCAACGTCTCCATGATTTGTGACTTGGTGTTTCTTGAGCCTAGGGCTATATCTGTGTTTTTAAAGGAAAAACAGAAAGCAGGAGCACAGATTTTAATGACTCATTCCATAAGGTATGTATTGCATGTGCTTTTGCAGTCTTCAGTTTAAAGACAATTTAATCACAGACATTGCCTATAATCCTAACCATGGCTGAGTTAATGGCTTTTGTAATTGTTGGACATATTTTCTAAAGTTATAGAAAAAGTTTTTAATTGGTAAAGTATGTGCAAATTTGCCAGGATGATTGTATTTTTAATTCAGTACCACCTATTTTGCTGTAAATGCAGGAGTGGAGTAGAATTTATTTTCCACTGAAGGTAAAAGCAGAATTTCAGGAGGAAAAAACACTGACAACCAGAAGTTAAAACAGTAGTAGTAGTAACTAGAGATAGAGAAGCGGAGGGAGAAGTACTTGAGCAGACTCAGGAGGGAAATACTATGCTCTTTTGCCAGATTTCATCTTTGACACCAGTTTTTGGCTAGTGTGTACTTGTTCAAGTAGCTGGGAAGGCGGAGGAGTGTTTATCTCCTATTTGGTGCAAGGCAGATGGATGTGGAGGTGTGGTATTTGTGTATGTACCCACATGTGGGTGAAATGGAAAAATGCTTGTTTCCTCTTTCCACTTCCATTTAGGTAGTACACTGATATAAATGTTTTAATCATAACATTGATGAAATTTTGAACCATTTCACTGGTTTTTCTTTTGGTTTTTGTTTGGTTTGTTTTTTTAAGAGAAAAAGGAAGAAATAATATGTAGCTGCTGAATCACTCTGCTGAAGGAAAAGATGAAAACAAAAACTGTTCAGACTGCAGTGGTTCTGTGCAAAATTACAGATTTTTCTGTAACAGATATGTTTAAGAGTCATTGTTAAATGACCCTTAAACTGACTTCCATCTGATACAAACCAGTGTTGATACAGGAGTGTGAAATAAGTACAGAACAAATTCTGACCAGATCCAGGTCTAACAGGATTATTCACTCCTCTATCTGGACTGATGATCTGAATCACCTAAAATGGTCAAAAGGTAACAGACCCAAAGTGTCATAGGTCCATGAAGGATTTGATTTTGCTGTCATCGATCTACATATGTAATTAATTATGAGCTTAATTACATGGATTTGGAGTCTGCTAATAGATAGTGCCAAGTTACATGTGGACATTTATAGCAGTTGGGTGTTTGGTAGTCATTCCTTCAGTATTTATGCACAAGAGCCTAGCAGGATTAATAAGGTTAGCATAAGAACTAGGGAATGCTGACTCCTCATTATTCCAGAAGAAGAGGAGCATTGAAACCTGTTAACAAAATCTCTTCTGCAGGGGTGGCAGAACTCCACTGTGTTTCTGAGGCCCAGTCCATGCCAGCCATCATCAGCGTTCATACCAACTCCCTCTGGCGTGACTAGGCAAAGCCCAGTGTGTGCCTGGTGGCTCATCCCAGTCAGAAAGCCTGGGGTGAAGCCAGAGAGGGCGGCAAGCTGTTTGCCAGGGACTTGGGCAGTAGGGCCAGTATTGGCAAGAGGGAGAGTACAGGAATACTGAAGGGAAAATAAAAGGAGTGTCAGACACTTGCGCCAGGGCTGGTGGGAGATACAAATGTTTAAGTTGGCATCGTGCCCTAACGTTAGCCAAAGGTGCAGAACATTGTTAAATTGCTCAGCGGGAGTTCAGACCTGAGTGTTGTGCAATCTGGGGAGCGCAGGATAAGCCAGACGTGTACAATAGAGAATGACGGGAAAGCAGTTCACACGAGTGCTTCATTTTATGAACTGTATTTTTATCAGACAGCTTTTTAATTTCTGTTATCAAAGCTTGACTAAATGCTTCCCTCTTGAGAGTGCTGAGGGAGCAGGGCTGGGGTTTAATACACTGGATGTATCTTAGGGCCATTTTGTTTTGGTAGCAGTTGCTGATCTGATAAAGGGACTCCATGGAAAAAAACTGCTTTTATTAAGTATGCTTTGTGTACATGATACATGCTTGCATTATTAATGGTGCTGCTTCCTGCAGCCTAACTGTGGGAAGAAAGCAGATCTGCCCATAGGACTTTGGCAAAGTTCTTATGCAAAGAGGCGGTCTAGGAGGGTAGTGTCTGAGAGCCTCAGGCAAAGATTAATATCTCTGTAGCAGGACAATGCTGTCTGGAGAATATGTGCCTCCTGGTGTCAGAGACTGGAATATTTTTTTATTAAAAAACAAAACCAAACAAAAAAAACCAACAGCCACCAAAAAACAACCTTAAGAAAGTATTTATCCCAAGCACCCTCTTCTGGGCAAGTTGACAGAGTTCTTAAAATCTTTTGTATTGTTTTAAATTACTTTGTCTCTGAAGTATCTCTAATGTTCTCAGAAGCTTACAGCTTCTGATAGAACAACAGAAGCAATTTTTTAGTACAATGCCTTCTAATAATGTTACCACATTGAAATACATTTTTAAAATTTTCTTTGTTATTTTGTTTTGAATATTCTTCTTTATAACAGTTCGCTTCATGTTATATATTTTTCACACCTCCTCAGGAAGGTGGCATTATATGGTGTTTTTAGCATAACCAATGAATATAGCAGAGACTGAAATAAGCGCTGTTTTAGAAACCCAAGCACCTGCAAGACAGCTTGCTGTCATTTAATGGAAACAATGTAGACCTAATTTCCTCTCACTTTTTTTGCTACTGTGATAGCTTTGTAGTTGTCTGTTATTTTCTGTGTTTGGAAAGCCAGTGGTGAGTGTTGGAGCCACTGGAGAGAACAGCATAGAGTACTGGTTTCTCAGTCATGCCTGGAAACGGGTATTCTCCATAAACAGTCACTTTAGGTACTTTTGGTAAAGAAGGGGAACCTTTTCCCGTGAAACTGGAAACTTGAACACGTGGGCTTTATTTTGCCAAGTGTGCACCTTTCTGATTGTGCCAGAGACTGCATTGCCAGCTTGGTTGCTATGTGGTCCCATATTGGGAGTGCTCTGTGGGCTGTGTGAGGTTGTGTGTAACTGGGACTTTTAATCTGCTTCTGGCAAACAGGGCCTTACGTGATCTCCTGTTTTGTGTCATACTAAGACTGAATTCTGCATCCCACATTCTGGCTAAGAGAAGTGTCCAAGAGAGAAGGTTTTTATTAAAAATAATATGTTTTCCCAGAAACTTATTTTTGAAAGCCAACTCTTTTGCATTCCTAGTAGCTTACTTTTTCCTCCTTTGTTAAGGGACTTGATAATGCTGCAAAAAATTCAGTATCTTCAGGAGTTTAGGGTCATTGGAGCCATACAGCACTGATCTTTCCCTGATGAAAATCTCCCATTCTTACAGCTAACAGTTGGATACTTTACACTGAGAAAAAGGTGGATGGGATGTAGAACTTGCTACATGGTGAGAAGAGGTGGAGGGTGTGAAATATGAGCAAGGCTGGTAAAAGAATGCCAGATGGGTAGGAGAGTAAAAAAAAAGAAAAACAAATGATAGACTAAGTGTTTAGAAGTTAGGAACAATTTTATCTAGTTACTTACCTACAGTGCCTTGTCCAGAGAAATGCTACATTCAGGCTTGAGCTTAGCCTCCATGTTGAAAACTGAGCGTAAGGAAGAAAGTACAGCTAAGAAAAACCCAGTCCTGGAGGCATTACATACCACCTGTATCCAGAACCCAGTTTCTCCAATGTTCACCTCTTGGGGTTGCCAAACACAGTGTTTGTCTACTGTGGCTGAGTGGTTCAGAGCCTGTGAGATGGGTTATAGATCTGCTGTCACAGTATAAACTCCAAAGGAACGCTGACTGTTGGTTATGGGTACCCTTTTTCTCCATATGGGTGTCTTCCTACAGAACTTCATTTTGAGCTATGGCGGTATTGTTCAGGCAAGAAATGGAATCATAGCCATATTTTAATTTGAACTGCTAAGAGGTCTCTCATCATGAATCAACTGGTGTGTCACTTAACTTTACCTTGACAGGACTTTCTGCAGAACAAGAAATACCTTCTTCTGTAGCTGTCCTTGATGTTCTGAATAAGGAACATTTTGCCTGTAGTAGTCTGTTTTTTAACCATTTCACTTTGTGCTCTTTCATCAGAGGATGTGCTGAGTAAAGATGCTGGGGAGTGTGCAATATGCCTGGAAGAGCTGCAGCAAGGAGATACTATAGCACGGCTGCCTTGCCTCTGCATATATCATAAAGGGCAAGTATTCCTTGGGATGGATATAAAATATGAGAAGGTTGCATTTACTGGGTAACTCCTTAAGGGGTGCTTAAAGGAGTTTTAAAACTTAGTTGCTTTTTACATTTGAAGACAAACAACAAAGAAACGACAGCAGCAACCCTAAAGATGTTTTTTAAATGACATCTCTCTGCATCTTCGCCATGTATTTGAAGTTATTTTTCCCTGCTATAATTTTCTCATTCTTGCAAAATCACCTGTGTGGGGAAGGAGTGCACATCATGGCTGAGGAGCTTAGTGTGCTTATGTTTTGTCAAATGCTAATAGATCTGGGCAGGGAAAAGGGGGAATGCTTTTTAAACCTGTTCCATATTTTGTGTTCACAAGCGTCTGTAACTACGGGAAGTAAAATGTCAATGAATTATATCAGCAAAATGATAATGTTAATAGTGAAGTAACCTGTGTATAAAAGCTGGATAGCAACTCGTAAAATGCTTCCTGAGAAAATTTTAACACTTAGGAAATTTAGTTTTTCAACAGTGTTTAATATCTAAATATTATTGTGGTTTGGGGTTATTAATTTTTCCAATTATGTGTGTGTATGATACACTTTGTATAATATAAAATCCTACTAGTCATTGAAATCATGAGAAACCAATTTATATTCATATGTTACTGCTAAATGTTTCTGATATTCATGTCAATTGTTTTCATTTTTGTTTTGTATCCAACAGCTGCATAGATGAATGGTTTGAAGTAAATCGATCTTGCCCTGAGCATCCATCTGATTAAGACAAGATTCATGTTTTTAGGTAATGTTTATTTTTAGACATGTACATTTCAACAATAAATATCTTGATTATCTGGAGTAACTCTATGCTAATTTTTTTTTCATTTGTGAATTTGCTACTATGTCTCAGAACTATAATATTAATCAGTAAGCATTGACATGCATTGCAATATAGGTAAAAGGTTTCTGCATCCTAACATGGCATGGTCTGAAATATTGTGTTCCAGTTTTAGTATTGGAAAGCGGCAAGTAATGGCAATTTAAAGCTTTAGCCATTAACTTCTAAAGAATATTTTTCCATGGAAACGAAACAAAATTAAAATAATATAATTGTGTAATTTTGGATTGCTTCATGAGTACTGGCATTTATTTCTGACACAAAGCTTTTGGAATCATATGAAAAAGTTAAAACTAGATATTTTCATAACTGCTTTCATGTTAATGCATTCCAGAATGTTTAAAATATATAAATAAATAAAAAATGTTGACCTGTTTCTATCCATCCCATCTCACGGAGGTTCACGTATTTCCAGCTTATGTTTTGTTTTAATGATTGCAGATCTGCAATCAGTGTCAAAAGTTTAAAGGATAGGTTTATTCTGTTTGTTGACTAGCTCGAAAACTTTATCATACATTAAACCCCTAAGCATTGCAAAACACACTAACAATCATGATAATTCTTAGAGACATAGAGATATCTGAAATTCTAGCTGGTGTCTGAGGGTTTGGTTTTGTTGTTCTGAGGGAAACTGAAGTCTTCATCACTGGCATTTATTTGTGCATTTATTTCATGTTGCTTCATGAGTCTGTGTTGCAGGGGTAGCAGAGAAAACCTGAAGGAAGGTATCCTGCTACAGGGATAATTGTTTTAATCTCAGGGCAGTGTTAGCCAAAATTAATAAACAAATGCATTTCCTGTATTGCCCCCAACTACCGACTGTGGCAGAAACCTACATGCTGTTCATGAATGCCTTTGTCTCTGTTCATGCTCATGGGTGTCTAACCTCATATTAAATTCTATTTGCTTTGTTTGCAGCAGAGATGGTGATAACTAGGGGCTTAGGAAAAAGGGGAAGGAAAACACGGTGGTTGTGCTCATGCTGTTTTAAGTGTGTTCTGTACTGAAATAGCTGAAATGATGGTACTTTGTCTTCTGCTTTTCCAACAGCTGCTTCCACTGATCAGAAAACATAGGAGATGTGAGGTTCCCTTGCTGAACACAGCATGCCTGGCTTGAGACTTAGAGTTCTTTGTGGCTGAAAAAGGCAAAGATGGACAATGACATGGAAAAAACATTGCAGACACCAGTTACTTGCCAGTAGTGCTCAGTATACCAAACACTCATGCAAAGGACATACAGGGATTTTGAAAATGCTGCACATCCTGTAACAATCGACTCCCCACAGACATTACTGACACTATTTTGTATCGAAGGCCAAAGTTCCTAATTTCAGCCTAACTTCTGGTTCTGTGAAGAAGCGAGTTATTGGACACGTTTCCTACTGCCTCGAGTGGAAGCGGAGATGTTCGATACGTGCTATCTGAGACCCTTGCAGGAGGATGGCCCCGGATTTGAGTGGGAACGTTTTCACCTTCTCGTTGGCTGAAGAATAGTAAATGGCAAACTAAATAAATTCTAATAGTGTGACCTTAATTTACTGAATTCACACCTGGTTTTATGTTCTTCACTTTTTTCAAGAACAGAAAACATAAACTGCTCTGCGTAGGAATATTTCAAAATTTTGTAACTAAACCTTTGTCACAATGCAGTCCAAAGAGTAAAAACCAAGACAGGTAACTAATTTATATTGATCAAGCTATAGAGATTGTTGAGATCTGCACATTGTATTGCTATTTAAGTAACTAAAACATCTCTTTTACTGCTTGTGAGTAAAAACTACAAAAAAAATGCAGCAAAGCAAAATCTTACAGCTATGCAACTTTTTTTAAAATAGGAAAAAGAAAAGAATTACCAATTTTAAGTGCTGCCAGTTAAGGTAATTTGTTTAACGGGTATTTTTTTAAAGATGTTTCAGGTAATTATTTTATTGTACTACTCTCATCTCCAGGCTGCCTCCTGAGGTGTAAATGAATAACTGCAAATGTGGGCACAGCGAGAGGTTTTTATAGGCACAGGCGAGAGAACATCGAGGTGGGATTTGTGTTTAATTTTTAAAACATGCGCGAGTTCATGTTTCCTTGTTTGAATATTTTCTTGGTGGCAGGATCTGTAGTACTTTGCATCTAAACCCTTGGTCTCTTCATGTGGAGACCAGCATTTGACAGTGTGGTTTGTTTTGGTTATTGGTTTTTGGTTTTTTTTTTAATGCATCTGCATTTGTTTAATTTATTATTATTTTACTGTATTATATTGTTATAACCAAGGTTCCACGAAACACAGGATGTCTCTGGGTGCGTACATCAAGTGAAACTGTGTATAAATATTAGTTCCCATGAAGTATCACAGTTAAAATAAAAGAAGACAGGGAAAAAAAAGACAATAAACTGGAACAGATATCAGGGCTTAGAAGCATACTTTTTATATTGAGAATTAATTGTAGTGGTTTCTGAATTTCACAGCACAGGGAAGAGTTTATCAATATTTATTAGCAACAGCATTCTTAGTGAGTTTCAATAGTTAAAATAAGTTGCACAACACTTCAAACATTTTTCTTGTACATAAATAATTCTGGTTTTCTTTTTTTTGTTTAAGTACACATTTCTCTCTGTTGCTACTGTGATTCATATCAAAAAGGGCAAAGAACAGGAGCAACTGCTGCTATCTGGAGAACAAGTGCAGTGCGTGTTCTTAAACTCTCCCATCTTGCTTGAAGAGCAGTTCTTCCCTGGATAACATTTTCTCCTGAATGTTGCTCTGTAAAATGCCTTTGTTATGCTGCAAATCTAAAGGAGTCCAGACTAGGTAATTGTCATAGTTGCCAGTGCAGTTTCTACATTTTTGGGCTTGCATCACTGGTTTCAGCGGAACCTGTAACTATGAGGCCCTGTTGTATTCTCTTTTTCAGTGGGAGCAGAATCATTTTGTCACACGTTCAATTCCGTAGTCACATCAAATGTACAGTTGTTCCCTGTAAAGAGCCCTTTCTCAACAAGAATATTTGTGTTGCCTTGTATTATCTTGGGGAAGGGAGGGAGGGGATGAGGAATTACAGCACCTGTTATACTCAAATAGTGGTGTTGCCTGCAGGCCCACTTTTTCAATGTTTTAAATTCCTGATACCTTCTGAAAGTAGAGCTTTTGCATTTGCATTGATGTAACGTTTGCTGTTGGCTTCATGCCTACAGAAACCTTGTAGCAATGTAAAGGGGGTAGGTAAGTGTTTTGATGTCCTGGGCTCTGAGGTCATAGGTAGCCTTTGGCTTGGGGATTAAGTAGGTAAATATTATAAACATGAATCTGTTTACAACTTGAGCTCAGTTTTGGTAGTTCATGGTAGTAGCTGATTTAAAGACCATTATCACTGTTGTCCCATGTTTAGGAACAGTGTTAGAAAAGCATGCCACAAGCCAGTGAACTGTGCATGGGTTTGCAGGCAAGAGTGCATCGCTACTTCCATCAGCACAGTAGAGCAGCAATACCTTGGATTATTTGAGGAACTGACATGAGGTCAACCTTAGTTTGACGTTCTTGGTATCCATGAATCTCTTCTGAAAGACTATGGGGGGTTTTCTTGTATCAAAACCTGTAATAGAGACCAAGCCTAGAATGACCCTGGAAGCATGGCAGTGATGCTTGGGTTTGAAAACACCTGTGGAAACTCACCTAGGTAAGCTTTCTGTCACCATCAGTTGCTGATGACCATGCTGTAGGCATAGCTCCAGTCATAGGCAACACCTTCGTTTTGAAAACATCCTCACAGGGGTGCTGAGTCACTGTGCTTCAGAAGGGGAAAATAAAACACCAAACAAGTCCTGTGTCTTGATCAAGGAATACCACACTTGTCCACAAGAAGCAATAACTTATATTATGGTGCGATATGCTTCTTTGCCTGTAAATATCTTGAGATTGCCAATTCTGTGCTGTTTCAGAGTATTTTTCTGTCATCTGGCCTGTATCTTCCCTAAGTATGTAAAGGTGTGAAATAATTCCCATACTCAGGTCTGCCATAAACATGCTGCTTGCCAGCAGGGGAAGAGTAGACTCGACACTGTCTTGAAATGTGAGATTTTTCTGAACTTGTAACATACCCATGTCTCTTCAGTAGCAACTTGTGTTTTGAAGTTCATAGTGGAGGTGGCTGTGAGTTGAATTGTATATAACCATATCCCTACAGTACCAAGAGAGTCACACTGCTGTTGGCACAGGGCACCCTTTGGCCTATCTCTTATGAGTCAGTATATCTATAATAACACTTCCCTTTTAAAGGAGGTAGCTAATTTTCTTTCAGTGTGTGCATTCAATGATGAGTTCAGTGGGATGTAAAAGCAAAAATACAAAGCACACCACAAATTTTTGATATTTTATTTTTGGGAGGAATAAGGCCAAAACCAGATGGTCTTATTTGTAGTCAAGGTAGCTGTCATATTCAAGGTTAAGTGTACTGCGGTATTTTGAAATGGAAAACATATAGGTGATGTACAAAAACTTGAGTATGTACTTTTGACCTTGGTTTTTTTCCTTGCTGCCCCTCTTTTATGAGGTAAAGGGGGCTTATGACTGAGTGTCAAGATTCAGACATTCATCCTACTTCCTAATGTTAGGAGCATTGGCTTTTCAAGTCTTTCCTGAAAGGCTGGAGAGCTGGTAAAATGGACTCCCAGAAGACTAAAATCTCAACAAATATAAGAAAGATAATTTTTATTCAGAAATGTGGATATTTGGTGTTTCTGGATGCTTAATGTCTACTACATAAGATATGCTTATGGATGCTTTTGGCATGCTGCCTTTTCCATGTGTGGGCTTCAGAAACTTGCTCCATTTCTTCTGTGTTCCACCAAAAGCAAGGAACTTGGTGGTTGAATATTACTATTCTCTCTACAGAAACAGCAGCAAAACACATATTGATACAAGCCATGATCTCTCTGAATTTCTGTGGATTTTAGCTGCTTTCCCACATTGAAAGAGAACATTCATATGCAAATTTGGTATTGCTTTGTATCTTCTAATTTTGCTGGACAGTTGGGAGTTTCCTGCTGAGAGACTCCCATATACCTGGGAATGCAGAAGTGCTACTATGGGGTCTTCCAGCTCACCTTTGCCAGTGGAGGATTATCTCATTTTTTGATGAGTGCTATATTTTATGTTTTACTTTCCACCCTTCCAAGCTTAAAAATCATTTTAGTATCAATTTCTTCTCTTCTTAGCTGAAGACATATTTTAGGCCATATTCCCTCAATCTTTGGACAGGCTTTCCACTGGCATCAGCAAACATAATGTAAGAGGTTGTAACTGGAAGGGGAGGCTTGTTATGGGTTTCCTACAGTCCAGCCAAATATGATTTTTTCATGCAGCTCGTACTGCTTAACTTTTTGTCATTCAAAACATTCTGTGTGACCAGGTCACGACAGAACTGTGTCCAGGATTTGTTTCCTGAATGTAAAACTCTTGATGTTTCTGTTTCCATATAAATTAACCTGCTTGTAAAATCAAGTTGAAGATGTCGTAGCCTGTTGGGGGTTGGAAAATCCAACCCAGTCCTTACTCTCAGATTGCATTTGATTATCTTACTACACATTGTAGGCTAGCTTCCCAAGCTGCTGTAAAGTCATGTCTCAATTACTACATCAGAGCTGATAATGGGATAAGCTGTAAAATGACCTCACTGTGGGGCATTATTAGTTGTTGAAGACTTGCTCAGGTAAACTACTGTAGGAATATCCTGCACCTGAAAAAGGTTGGACTTCATTCTGGTTTTGATCTAATAAGTTGCCAGTGTACAAGAAGTAGAAGGCAACCAGCCCACTAGCTGATCTTTCTGGCAGCTTTTAATCTATGTGTGTTTGTCTGAGAGACTTTTGCCCTTGGGTGTGCTTTGGCAAAGATTTTGCAACAATAAATAGGATTTGCTCGATTCTGGCAGAATTTCAAATGTAAGTAACCCGACATTGCAGGAACATAATCTGTTGCTGAATCCAGTTCCTCTTGTTTTCCCTCAAATCTGTCCCTTTTATTGCTAATTTGTTCTATTTAATAGTAAACACTTCTCAACATGACTGGTCACAAGCTCTCAAGGTGTGAAATGCTAAGAGGAAGAGACATCAAAGCTTGATTCTGTACTCTACTTGTATATATTAAGATGAAGCCTGGAGTATTCGTTACCATACAGTCAAGAATTCTCCACAGTGATATTGCCAAAACTGTTACTTTCAAGGAACAAGGGAGGTGACTTAGCTGTAGAGGGGATACTTTATTGAACTACTTAAAATCTACTTGTAACAAAGTTTAAGAGCTCCAATGTCACACTGACACAGTGGTGATCCAGCATTAACCTTATCACTTGATTGTGAATCTCATTCTGGCTCTTCCTAGGCTTTGGCAGGTGCCTGCTGGTAGGGAGCAGAGTGTGCATTCCCTTTTTTATATGCCTCTTCCTACAGAGCTAACCCTGCCCACAGCAATTTAGAGGGAACTCCGTGCTAGCTTCTGAAATGCCACCTGTATGTGCAGTGGTAATGGACAAGGTATCTTCCTTCATTACCCAGAGCA